CCCCTATCCCACTGAAGAAGGATCACCCCTACTCCACTGAGGAAGGATCACCCCTACCCCACTGAAGAAGGATCACCCCTTCCCCCAAATAAGGATCATCCCTTCCCCACTGAGGAAGGATCACTCCTACCTCCCTGAAGATGGATCACCCCTACCCCACTGAGGAAGGATCACCCCTACCCCTCTGAAGAAGGATCACCCCTACTCCCCTGAAGAAGGATCACCCCTACTCCACTGAGGAAGGATCGCCCCTACCCCACTGAAGAACGTTCACCCTACCCCACTGAAGAAGGATCACCCCAACCCCCTTGAAGAAGGATCACCCCTACTCCACTGAGGAAGGATCGCCCCTACTCCACTGAAGAACGTTCACCTCTACTCCCCTGAAGAAGGATCACCCCTACCCCTCTGAAGAATGATCACCCCTACTCCTCTGAAGAAGGATCACCCCTACTCCTCTGAAGAAGGATCACCCCTACCCCCCTGAGGAAGGATCACCCCTACTCCACTGAGGAAGGATCACCCCTACTTCTCTGAAGAAGGATCGCCCCTACTCCACTGAGGAAGGATCACCCCTACCCCCCTGAGGAAGGATCACCCCTACTCCACTGAGGAAGGATCGCCCCTACTCCACTGAAGAACGTTAACCCCTACCCCTCTGAAGAAGGATCACCCCTACCCCCCTGAAGAAGGATCACCCCTACCCCCCATGAAGACACACGGGATTGTGCAATAACCTGCATGTTCTAATGTATACCAGCCCTGAAATGAATGGATTGTCAAAACTGGACCAGACGGGAAAGTGCGGGAAAGTGCGCCTTCTCTAAGAACCGCCCTTTATAAGAGAATACAAAAGACTGGGACAGCAACATTTTATAAAATGTATCAAAATGATGTCCAAATCACTCACCAATCATGTGACTTCAGTCATTCCAATGCTTTCCATTGGCGCTGATGCAGACCCTTCAGTCCTTTTCAGCGCCGTGTTGGTTGAAGAGCTCACAATCTCACGGTTTTTTTTTTGGTGGATGAGTTGGACTTCGTTTTGTACATTTGATACAATGTTGATGTCACAATGTTTTGTATTTCTGCATTGCGTCGTATTCAAAGATTTCTATTTATGTCTTTTTTCCTGGTGATGATTATTTTGTTTATATGAATTTCCTCATTTCATGATTTTAATATTTCTCTGACATCATAAAAGGCCAATAAACACCCCGAAAATGTATTTAAAATAGTTTTTTTATTAATATCGATTAATAAATCTGTCAGACGTCCAGGAAAGGTTTTACAATGGCGTTGTGGTCGTTGGGGACAGATCAGCACTGCGAATGTCTCTCGTCTTCCATGGAGGGATGACACTTGGTGGCACATTGTTGCATTTGTAGTCCATATATGAGGGTCACTGATCCTTTCTGGGTCTTTGGGCGGGGGGGGCGGTAATAAATCTCAGATGTATTGATGGAGGAGCTTACAGGCAGAAATGAGAAAGAAAACACAAATAAGTTCTGTAAAGCGAATTGTCTACCTTCGTGTAGACCTGAAATTGTCTGCATGTGGAACGATCGATAGAATTCTTGTTTTGTTCGTTTTTCCAGCCAAGGATTACATTTCCACATCCAGTTTTTTTTGTACCTTCGTTTACATCTGTATACAGGTGACCACAGACGCACATTTTCCTGGTTTTGGTCAACAGATCTGAATGCAGCTCAATTCTTCTGATCTTCACACGTTGTATAGACACCTCGGATCTGTACACCAAAAACGGGAAAATGATCTTCTGTGGTCACATGTACCTATACACGTGTAAACGCACATACATGTATATGTATCTTCATGGATAATATAGTGCTCTGCTTATAAATATACCACATTATTTAACTGGACTTGACATGGCCACCCACACAGCTTCTTTCCCTCTCCCTGGCCTCCCCTGGAGGAGGAGAAGCCATGCAGGGAGATAGTGAAGGGAGAGATAGAGAGACTGCCACAGGATGCTTTGGCAGTACTGTGTTTGAAGACATTGGAAGCCAGAGGAGGGCCCCACCCAGTGCCCGGGGGTACAGAGGAGAGCAATGATTGGTTGCAGGGTTGGTAGACAAAGCCCTCCCATGGAGCATGGGAAAGACCTCTGGAAGCCAACTGGAACTATGGTGGATGTAGTCACCAGGAGACAGCCTCTATCAAGCCAAGTACTGGATGGGACTACAAGACCAAAGAAGACGGTGCAGCAAAGGAGGAAAAATAAAGAAAAGCCAGGGGCTCGGGGCAGTCTCACCTAGGAAGTGAGAGGTGATGAATGGAGAGGGCTGGTAAGATGGAGACACTGCCTGCTGTGGGTGTTTGCCACGGTGCCAGAGAGATGCTGGAATGCCACATTTGCATGGAGGTCACAGCTGTTAGAGAGATCCAGTGAGCTGGAGGAATGGGGCAGCATTGGTTCTGTAAGAGATCACCATAACTGGGTCCCAAGACTCCACCAAGGCCATTGGTTTTGGACTCCAGTGACCAGGAGAAGGTTTATTTACAGACTGCATAATGGTGAGAGGCCGCTGGCTACAGCTGCATTACCTACTTCCCAGGGACAGTGTGACTTTACCTTTAGATATAGTTTGGGAATGTATGCCTTGTACCATGAGATCCTAAGAACTATGGGCCTAAACGGTTAAAACTACACTGGCCAGTGGGAGGGGTTTGGAGAAACGGAATGACCCTTTAGCGCCCAGTACCACCCATTTAGTTAGGGCCCCCTCCCCCAGATCCAGGGTTCAGGTGCAGAGACACTTGGTCCTCTCATTGTTTGTGGTATTGTACAAATAAATGTGTTTTATCGTTTATTGCTGTTGCCATTAATTTCCTGTTGTTGCCTCGAAGGGTGTTTATCCCAAATAAATCCTCCTTCCTCAGCCTTTGTGTTCTTCAGAAGGTGTGGCATTGCCGGAAGGGTCATTGTCATCCTGAATCAGGGGAGCCATCCAATCAGGGGACCCATCCAATCAGGGAACCCATCCAATCAGGGGACCCATCCAATCAGTGGACCCAACCAATCAGGGGACCCATCCAATCAGGGGACCCATCCAATCAGGGGACCCGTCCAATCAGGGGACCCAACCAATCAGGGAACCCATCCAATTAGGGGACCCAACCAATCAGGGAACCCATCCAATCAGGGGACCCAACCAATCAGGGAACCCATCCAATCAGGGGACCGTCCAATCAGGGGACCCAACCAATCAGGGGACCCATCCAATCAGGGGACCCATCCAATCAGGGAACCCATCCAATCAGGGGACCCATCCAATCAGGGGACCCAACCAATCAGGGGACCCAACCAGTCAGGGGACCCAACCAGTCAGGGGACCCATCCAATCAGGGAACCCATCCAATCAGGGGACCCAACCAATCAGGGGACCTATCCAATCAGGGGACCCGTCCAATCAGGGGACCCAACCAATCAGGGAACCCATCCAATTAGGGGACCCAACCAATCAGGGAACCCATCCAATCAGGGGACCCAACCAATCAGGGAACCCATCCAATCAGGGGACCGTCCAATCAGGGGACCCAACCAATCAGGGGACCCATCCAATCAGGGGACCCATCCAATCAGGGAACCCATCCAATCAGGGGACCTATCCAATCAGGGGACCCATCCAATCAGCAGACCCATCCAATCAGGGGACCCAACCAATCAGGGGACCCAACCAGTCAGGGGACCCATCCAATCAGGGGACCCATCCAATCAGTGGACCCAACCAATCAGGGGACCCAACCAGTCAGGGGACCCATCCAATCAGGGGACCCATCCAATCAGGGGACCCATCCAATCAGGGGACCCCCCATCCAATCAGGGAACCCATCCTTCAGAAGGTTTAGCGTAGTATAACAATTTCGGTGGTTACATAAGACATCTATAAATCCATACTAATCAAAAGAAGGACAGCTACAAAGGAAAGAGAAAAAGAGAAAAGAAACCGAGGGATTCGATGCCAAAGAGGGGCAAATTCCGAGACAGTTGGGTGCTCCGGGGTTATGATTGTCACAGGACAGGAAGGCACAGACACCAATACACATATCAATACGAGTGGTAACTTCTCCACACTCTACTAAACTTGTGTTGTTGGTGGCCTCATGGAAGAGATTTCCTACCACTTCCCTCTTGTCCTGACAGGAAGTCAAAGGAAATCTCCTCATTAGGCTCCACGTACACTGGAACATTCTTCTGCTGGCAACAGAAAAACGCTCAATGCAGCAAAAACGTGTGTGAACGCGATACCGCGTCTATCACTTGGACGTTCTGTTCAATTCATTGGCCAGAGTTCTTGCCATTGAAATGAATAACCACCAAAGAGCTAAATGCGGTGAACGCTTAGTCGTGTTTACACGCCTTTTTGCCGCGTTTGGCGTTTTTTGGCCCCTAAACTTTGCTGCTGTTAACCTCTGATAAAAGTCTACGTGTGCATGGACCAGGGGCGGACTGACCATTTCGAAACTTGGGCACTGCCTGAGAGCCCGGGGTCAGTAGGGGGCCCCATGAGATGCCCCTGGTACCTTTTTCATAGGCTTTTTTGAGTTTGGGCAAGGACACAGGGGCCCCGTGATCCCCTATTGCCCGGGGGCTCAGTGAGTTGTCAGTCCACCCCTGGCATGGACAAACAGGCTTTTCTTGAGCTGGGTTCAGGGGTTTTGGCAACAAAAACGCCAAAAGTTCTGGAACTCACGCTTACGAGCGGCAGTGGACATGAGGCCTTGTAGTTACAGATGGCAACAGAAAGTTGTCATTGGCTCTAATCATTCTGCACTCCATCCACGATGAAGTTAAACACTGAAGAAAGTATGACATGATTTATCTCATCACACCCACTCATGTCTGAAAATATCCATTTTAGACAGCCTTGCCCTTCCCCCAATACACTATTCTTGTTCCCGGTATAAAGTACGGCAGTCGCAGAGATGAAGATGAAGAACATCAAGTAACAATAACAGGTCCATGTCCCCTTCTATATCGTAGTGTAACTCCGGCTGTAGTTTGCCATTTTCACCTTTTCAGGAAAGATTATTTTGAGCTCATTTCCGGTCTCTCGGCTCGCTTTCACGCAGAAATCTTTTTCCTTGTGAATCAAGTGCCTGTACTTGGCGTTGGCAAACCACGTTTTACATTTGGAGATGAAGACGATCCCTATGGAGATGAGGATGATGAGACAAACGATGAAGCCGAGGATGATGAAGCATATGATTTCACTTCGGCTGATGAGAAGTTCGCTCTTGTGGATGGTCTCCTTCATGATGATCTTCAGGACCTCGTGGGCGGGGTGCTGTAACCCCTTGTGGTGTGGTGGGAGGTTATAGCTGGGCTTATTATTTCTCTTTGTAGGAAAAGCACAGGTGGCGCCTGAGTATTGTGGTGGACAGGAGCATTGGAACCTGTCCGGCTTTTCATAGCATGTTCCACCATTGGTACAAGGGTTACTGTTACACCATGAAAGACGTTCAGAGCAAGAACGACCACCAAAGCCAGCTGGACAATGGCAGTGAAAGCTCGGGCCAGTGTCTGCGCAGGTTCCTCCATTAGCACAAGGGTTGGGGCTACAGTCATCCTTGTCTAATTCACAGTAGTCACCTGCGAAACCTTCAAGACACCGGCATGAGGCATGTCCAGAAAAGCCATTATTGTCCATGCATGTCCCTCCATTTTGGCATGGAGACCTGGAACAATATGCAAAGAAAATAGAAAAAAATGTAAGGAAGATTATTCAGCACGCTGCTAAAGGCAAAGCATGAGGAACACTTAAGTGCAAGGAAACATTTTTTCTGTGCCCCCTCTGATTTGGTTTCACCTTCCTACGAGGACCTATAAGGAGGAATGGGTTACCACAAGCATACCTGCCCTTAACTCATCCTTTGCTATATATGTTCCAGTATGGAGACTCTGAAGTATAAGGGTTAAGACTGCTCTTTATGGAGGAGCCATGGCAAAGCAAGCTAGCTGGTAGGTGTGCTGGGAAAATGCTTGGTGGAGCCATCAAGCAAAGGAACTCTGGCCTCATGGACAGGGGGGAGGGAGTAAGTGGAGCCATCAATCAAAGGAACTCCGGCCTCATGGGCAGGGGGAGGGAGTTAGTGGAGCCATCAAGCAAAGGAACTCCGGCCTCATGGGCAGGAGGAAGGGAGTTGGTAGAACCACCAAATCAAGGAAACTCCGGCCTCACTGACAACGTTGAATAAAAGCCAATGCTGATCTCAGGAAATCAGAAATTCTATTCTTATGTTTGTCGGGTTCAGTGGTATCTAGCAACAATTCTGACCTCATGGAGAGTAGAAATGGAGTAGGTGGAGCCATCAAGCCATGGAACTCTGGCTTTATGGACAAAGGGAAAGGGAGTTGGTGGAGCCGCCAAGCCAAGGAAACTCCGGCCTCACGGGCAGGAGACAGTGAGTTGGTGGAGCCATCAAGACAAGGAAACTCTAGCCTCATGGAGAATAAAAATGGAGTAGGTGGAGCCGTCAAGCCAAGAAAGCTCCGGCCTCATGAACAGCAGGAAGGGAATCGGGGAGTTATGAAACCATGGAACTCTGGCTTCATTTACAAGAGGAAAGGAGTTGGTGGAGCCATCAAGCCAAGGAAACTCTGGCCTCATTGGAGACTAAAATGGAGTAGGTGGGGCCATAAAGCCAAGAAAACTCTGGCCTCATGGAGACTAGAAATGGAGTAGGTGGGGCCATCAAGCCAAGAAAAACTCCAGCCTCATAGACAGGAGGAAGGGAGCTGAGGAGCCATCAAACCAAGGAACTCTGGCTTCGTATACAAAAGGAAGAGAGTTGGTGGAGCCATTAAGCCAAGGAAACTCTAGCCTCATGGAGAATAGAAATGGAGTGGATGGAGCCATCAAGCCAAGAAAACTCCAGCTTCATGGACAGGGAAGAAGGGAGTTGTTGGAGCCACCAAGCCAAGGAAACTCCGGCCTCATGGACAGGAGGAAGGGAGTTGGGGAGTTATCAAACCATGGAACTCTGGCTTCATGGACAAGAGGAAAGGAGTTGGTGGAGCCATCAAGCAAAGGAAACTCTAGCCTCATGGACAGTAAAAATGGTGTAGGTGGGAGCCATCAAGCAAAGGAAACTCTGGCCTCATGGACAGTAAAAATGGTGTAGGTGGAGCCATCAAGCTAAGAAAACTCTAGCCTCATGAACAGAAGGAGAGGAATCAGGGGGTTATCAAACCATGGAACTCTGGCTTTATGGACAAGAGGAAGGGAGTTGGTGGAGCCGCCAAGCCAAGGAAACTCCGGCCTCGTGGACAGGGAGAAAGTGAGTTGGTGGAACCATCAAGCCAAGGAAACTCTGGCCTCATGGAGACTAGAATTGGAGTAGGTATGTGGGGCCATCAAGCTAAGAAAAAACTCCAGCCTCATAGACAGGAGGAAGGGAGCTGAGGAGCCATCAAACCAAGGAACTCTGGCTTCGTATATTATTATATTATTATTATTATTATACAGGATTATATGGCGCCAACAGCTTGCTCAGCGCTTTTACAATATAACGGGAGACAATACAGTAACAATACAGTTCAATACAAGAGGGATATGAGCAGGGGCGGACTGACAACTCATGGGGCCCCCGGGCAATAGGGGATCATGGGGCCCTGTGTCCTTGCCCAAACTCAAAAAAAGCCTATGAAAAAGGTACCAGGGGCATCTCATGGGGCCCCCCTCCCCCCCCCTACTGACCCCGGGCCCTCGGGCAGTGCCCGAGTTTCCAAATGGTGATCAGTCCGCCTCTGAGAATTTTGAGAGGGCCCTGCTAGTGGCAGTAACTGTGGGGGATGGACTGGTTGGAAGAAAGTAGAAGATTCCAGTATTAGCTGAGGGCAGGATAGGCTTTCTGAAGAGATCGGTTTTCAGTAGAGATGAGCGAAGAAATGAAAAATTTCGATTCGACTGATTCGGCGAATTCGTGGACAATATTCGATTCGAGTCGAATAAATTCGCTGTGAATTTAACTTAAAAAAGGGTGTTTCTAGGCTTCAGAGAGGACTTAATATTAGTGCAGAACACTGTACCTTTAATTTAAAATGCCCTTGGAGTTGCTGTGGGAGAGAGAATAATACTGTCCAGTCAGTATGACATGCAGATGAGTGCGAATCTTTAGTCGATCTTAGCAATCACGGGGCAACACCGCACACTTCACTCAATTGGGGCAGTCACGGGGCCAAAACAGAGTGTGGAGCCGCACATGAGTGTGGGCGTAGAGAGCAGCAGCAATGGGGGCCATACAGCACCCTATTGACAAAAATGGAAACCACCAGAGCGAGTGTGAGGAGACCTGAAGCAGTGGCACATGGCAGAGTGGTGGCGACTAGAGACAGCAGCAATGGGAGGCCGTACAGGGGACCCATGACACACTCTGGACCTGGCAGCAGCATGAGGACGGCGGTACAGAGGGCCCATGACAGATTACGGGCCTGGCAGCCAGCATGAGGAGTCGGAAACAGGGGCCCATGGCAGATTTACGGGCCTGGCAGCAGCAATGGGAGGCCGTACAGGGACCCATGACACACTCTGGACCTGGCAGCAGCATGGGGAGGCGGTACAGGGGCCCATGACAGATTACGGGCCTGGCAGCAGCCTGAGGAGGTCGGTACGGGGGCCCATGACACACTCAGGAGACCCTGGCAGCAGCCATGAGGAGGCGGTACAGGTGGGCGCATGACAGATACGATCTCTGGCAGCAGCAACTAGGACAGGAGGACGATTCAGCTTCAGCACCTTCGTTGCGTGCCCGCAAACTGTTTGTCTCTTGGAAACGGACAAATTCCAAGATAAGACTGCTGACGAATCCGTGAAGGAGGAGTGAGCAGAGAAGAGCAACTGAACGAGCGAATATGCCAACAAGCGACAACAGAGTCCATGACATATTACGGCCTGGCCAGCAGCATGAGGAGTCCGGTACGGGGCCCATGTGCAGATAACGGCCTGCAGCAGCTATGGGGGCCCGTAAACTGCCAAGCCCCTATGAACAAAAATGGAACCCACCTGCGAGTGAGAGAAACCCAGAAAGTGGCACCTGCAGAGTTTGGCGATTGGGGACAGCCAATGGGAGGGCCCCTACCGGGGGCCCCTGAGGACTCTGGACCTGGGACAAGCAGGAGGAGGGGTATAGGGGCCCCCTGGCAGATTAGGGGCCCGGGGAGCAGCTATGGGAGGCCCGTAATCTCCCCCACCCTATGACAAAAAAAGGAAACCACCAGCAGTGTGAAGGGGAAACCCGAAAGTGCACATGGGTAGGGTGGCGAAGGAGGGAAGGGAGCAATGGGGGGCCGTACCGGGGGCCCCTGAGGAAAACCTTGGACCCTTGGGCACAGCATGAGGGGGCGGAAAAGGGGCCAATTTTCAATTAGGGGCCCTGGCAGGCCGCTATGGGAGGCCCGGGAATCGCCAGCAACCCTAAAAAAAAAAAACAAAAAAAAAAAAAGGGAAAACAAAAAACCAAACATGGAGGAGACCTGAAAGTGGGGACATGTTTGGGGGATGGGTTCAAAAGGCGGATTTTAAAAATCAGTTGTGGGCAGGGGAACGGTGTTTTGAAATCCAGTACTATCGCACGCCTGATTCAATCTTTCACAAACGGAGTCTCACCACACATTGGTGGACAGTCGGTCCTCCGCGGATTGCAATACCTCCTGCCGCACTAAAACACGCGCTCCGATGCCACGCTACTGGCTCAGGGCATGACAGCCTTTCAAGGCAAACTTCAGCAAGTTGGGGGCCCAAAGTGTCAAGTTTTCGTTGCCCAGTAGTCAAGGGTAATTGTCTACCTCGGTTGGCAGGGTGCTGACCAAGTAGCCTAGCCTGTTGTTTGAGGTCCTGCTCCAGGTCCACCTGATGCTGCTGTCTGCAGGCAGCGGCTTGGTTTAGTTTTTCCTCGACTGCTCTGGTGAGAGAAAGCTACTCATCATCGACTGCAGACAGAGGCAGCCCCTCTGGTGGAGGCTGCCACTGCCGCTCGGGCCCAAATACTTCACGCCAGTCCGATGCCCCGAGACTCCCCCTACGTGACGCCCAAAACGACAGACACCCCGTAGGCACGTATTCACGTACCCACCCCTTCCCCCCCACCCCAAAACCCGAACCTACTAAAAGTGACCCATTTTCCTAACCTCCACGGGGAAAAAACCCCAGAAGGGAACCCCAAACCCAAATGGGTCTATCCCGGGGCCCCCCCCCTAGGAACCCGGCCCCCCCCCACCAACTTTACACCACCATTTTTCCAAAAGCCCGGGGTCCCCCGCCGATCCCCGCTCCAAACCCTTCCCCAAAACCTCTTTTTCCCCTTTTCCCCCCCCGCCTTCCCACCCAAGCCCCCGCCCCCCTAACCCCCATGGGAGCCAAACCCCATTTTCCCCCCCAAAAAACTACCAAAAAAATTCCCCCCCCCTCTTACCCTCCCCCTTCTCCCCCCGCCTTGCCCCCCGGCCCCCACAAAACCTATGTCCCCCTAGAGGGCGGCCCCCTTTTCCCCCCCTGACCAACCCTTCCCAACAGCATTTTTCCGCAACCCTTCAACAGACCAATGACACCCCCCCCAAAGTTGGCCAACCAACCAAATAGCCCCTCCTTCCCCCCAAAGGCCTAAAACCCAAACCCCCATTTTCCCCCCAGAAGCCCCCCAAACCCCCAAAATCCCCCCAATTCCGGGGGTACCATTTTCCTCCCTTTTAAAAAACCCCCCGGAAAATTCGGAGGGCCCCCTTTTTTAAAACCCTTCCGCCAAAAAATTGGCGTTCCCCCCCCCCCCTTTTCCCCCAAAATCCCCCCCGCAAAGGGGTACCTAACCCCCCCCTTCCCCTTTGGGCCGGGGCCTTATTAACCCCCAAAAATGACCGCACGCCAATTCAAAAACCCCCCAGGGCCCCGCATTGGAGGGTCCCCAAAAAAACCCCCAGGCCCCCAAGGTTCGTAACAACCAAAAGGGGCCCCCAAGGCCTCCCCCACCCCTCCTTCAAATGGGGAGGCCCCAATTGGGAAACCTGGCCCCAGAACCCGCCCTTTTCCCCCCTCCTCCAAACCCAGCGAAAAAATTTAAAACCCCGCCAAAAAACCTAAAGTTCACATGGGGGCCCCAATTCCCCAAGACACCTCCCCCAATAGGCCTTCCCCCGGGCCCTTTGCAACCTGGAACTTCACCCCCCCCTAGAGGCCCCAAACCCATTCCGAAAGGGGCCCCGGCCCCCCGGCTAAAACCCGGGAACCCACCCCCCAAAGGCCAAAAAACCCCCAACACCCCGTTTTTGTAAAAAACCCCAAAGGGCACCCTGGGGGTTTGGCCCCCCCAAAAAGCCTCGGGGGCCTTACCCCCCCGGGGGACCCCCCAAAAAACCCCTCCCTCACCCCCAAAAGGGGGGCCTTTTAAAGGGGGGGCGTTAACCCACCATTCCCTTTCCCCCCCGGCCAAAAAAAACCCCAACGGGAAGGCCCCCGAATCAACCCAAAGGGGAAGTTGGGGGGGTTGGCAGCCCCGGGGGGTCCCAGGGGCCTAAACCCAAAATCCCGGGCGGCCCCAGCAAACCCCACGCGGGGAAAAACCCCAGGCCCCGATTACCCGGGGGCCGCCCCCCGCTAGTAAAGGGCCCCCAACCCCTCCCCCACCATGGGAAAAAAACCCCACCCCCAGTGTTTAAAAGGGAATTAAAAATTTGGGGGCCAAAATGGGAGGGGGTCCAAAAGGCGCAACAAAGGTGGGAATTTTTTAAGACTTTAATTGGCCCCCTTAAGGTTAAAAAGGGGGGCCCCTTTTCAAAAGGGGGGGCCCCCCAAGGGGAACAGCCGCACCCTTTCAGGGAAAAATTAAAACCCCCGCGCTAAGCAAGGGAAGAGCAATGAAAGGGCCCAATTTTGGGCCAAAGGGAATTTCGGGGATTGGAATTCCACAGCAAAAAAGGGCCAAAAGGGGGCCCTGAGGGCTCTGCTCCTCACCCCCTTTACCCCCTTGCTCGTTCCCCCTAGGGGGGCAGAGTGAAAAAGGACCCGTTTTTAAATTTGCCCCTTTAAAATTCAAATAATTTAAATCACCCAAGCCCCCCTACCCCTTTTCAACCCTCCCGCCCCCCCCGGGGCCAATGCGGAGAACCCCCACGCAGCAATGGGGGGTGCCGTTAAAAGGGCCCTTTTTTCCAGACTTGGGAAACAGAGGAAGGTCGTTATCCCCAAAAAATTTCCACTCAGAATTTGCGGGCCTTCCTCAAAGGGCCCGTTTTAGCAAGCCAAAAAATAAAACCCCAAAAAGCCCTGGCGGAAAACCCAAAATTACACAAGGGAGCCTTTTAAGAGCTTTAACATCCAAAGGGAAAAGTGAAGGGTTTTCCGTTCAAAAACGCCCCAACCCCTAAAAAAGGGGGAACCCCCTTTTTGGCACACGAGGGGGCGTTAAAAAGGGGCCCAAAAGGGGAAAATTTTGGGGGCCCCCCAGCGAGGGAATTGGGGGCCCAAAACTGCCCACCCTATGGAAAAAAAAAAATGGAAAACACCCCCGCAGTTGGGGAAAAACCCGAAAGGGCACCCGCAGAGTGTTTGGGGATGGGGGACAGCAGCAATGGGAGGCCGTACAGGGACCATGACAGACTCTGGACTTGGAAAGCAGCATGAGGAGGCGTATATAGGGTACCATGCAGTATTAGTGGGCCTGGCATCAGCTATGTGATGCCCGTAATCTGCCTGCGCATCCGCAATGTCAAAAAATTTAACACACAAGCAGTGTGAAGAGACCTGAAAGTGGCACATGGCAGCAGAGTGTGGCGAATGGATACAGCAGCAATGGGAGGCCGTACCAGGTACCCATGACAGACTCTTAGACTTGCAGCAGCAGGAGGAGGGCCGGTATATTAGGGGCCCATGGGCAGATGTAGGGGCCTGGCAGCAAGCTATGTGAGGCCCGTAATCTGCCAGCACCCTATGTCAAAAAATTTGATACACAACCAGCAGTGTGTGAAGAAGAGACCTATGAAGAAGTGGCACATGGGCGAGCGAGAGCTGTGGCGGATGGAGAAAGCAGCAATGGGAGGCCTGTGACTGGTACCCATGACAGACTGCTAGACTTGGGCAGCAGCATGAGGAGGACGGTTAATATAGGGGCAGCTATGGCTGATTAGTGGGGCCCTGGGCAGCAGGCGATGTGAGGGACCGTTAATCTGCCTGCACCCGAGGTCAAAAAATTGAACACACAGCCAGCAGTGTGAAGGAGACCTGAAAGGGGGCACAGTGGCAGCGAGAGTGTGGCGGATGGAGACAGCATCAATGAGGCCTGTACAGGGACCAAGACAGACTCTGGACCTTGGCAGCAGCATGAGGGCGGTATATAGGGCCCTGCAGATTAGGGGCCTGCAGCAGCTATGTGAGGCCCGTAATCTGCCTGCACCCTATGTCAAAAAATTTAAAACACACCAGCATTGTGAAGAGACCTGAAGTGCCGCAGTGGCAGCAGCATTGTGGCGGATGGAGACAGCAGCATGGGAGGCCGTACAGGGACCCATGAGAGACTCTGACTTGGCAGCAGCATGAGGAGGCGGTATAAGTGGCCCATGGCAGATAAGGGGCCTGGCAGCACTATGTGATGCCTCGTAATCTGCCCTGCACCCGTATGGTCAAAAAATTTAAACACACCAGCAGTGTGAAGAGACCTGAAAGTGGCACATGGCAGCAGAGTGTTGCGCATGTGAGACAGCAGCTATGGGAGGCCAATACTGGGACACATGTCAGACTTCTATACTTGGCAGCAGCATGAGGAGGCGGTATAGAGGGCCCATGGTCAGAATTAGGGGCCATGGCAGCAGCTATGTGAGCCCGTAATACTGCCTCCCCCTATGTCAAAAAATTAAACACACCACAGTGTGAAGCGACCTGAAAGTGGCACATGGCAGCAGAGTGTTGCGATGGAGACAGCAGCAATGGGAGTGCCCGTACAGGGACTCATACAGACTCTGGACTTGGCAGCAGCATGAGGAGGCGGTATATAGGGGGCCCTTGGCAGATTAGGGGCCTGGCAGCAGCTATGTGAGGCCCGTAATCTGCACCTGCACCCTATGTCAAAAAAATTTAACACAACAGCAGTGTGAAGAGACCTGAAAAGTGGGCACATGGCAGCAGTGTGTTGTCGATTGAGACAGCAGCAATGGGAGAGCCGTAACATGGGACCATTGAGAGACTCTAGACTTGGCAGCAGCATGAGGAGGCGGTATAGTAGGGGCCCATTGGCAGAATTAGGGGCCTGCAGCAGCTATGTTGAGGACCCGTAATCTGCCTGCCACGCCAATGTCAAAAAATTAAACACCCCAGCCGTGTGAAGAGACCTGAAAGTGGCACATGGCAGCAGAGAGTGAGGGCGTGTTCAGTGGTGGACAGCAGCAATTGTTGTCAGGCGCGCTGACAGCGGACTCCAATAGTACAGACCTGTCTGGACTTGGCCAGTGCAGCATGTAGGATGCAGGTATATTAGGGGTCCAGCCATGTCAGATTAGGTGGCCTGTCAGCACTAGTGGCAGGCCCGTAAGCTGCACTGCCACCCTATGTCAAAAAATTAAAGCAACACAGCAGTGTGAATAGGACCTGAAAGTGGCACATCTGATGTCATAGTGTGGCGATTAGACAGCAGCGCAATAGGCGGCTCGTACAAGGGACAATGACAGACTCTGGACTTGGCAGCGAGCAAGAAGGAGGTGCGGTTATATAGGTGCCCATGGCAGATTAGTGCCTGTGCAGCAGCTATGTGACACCCGTAATCTGCTGCACCTATGTCAAAAAATTTAACACACCAGCATGTGAAGAGACCCCCCCCCCCCACATGGCCCCCCCCCCCCCCAAGGGAGACAGCAGCAATGCGGAGGCCGTACTTGGTACACGATGATGAGACTCTCGGACTTGGCATGCCAGCCTGATGGAGGCCGGATCATATAGGGCGACCCATGGCAGATTAGGGGTCCTGCAGCAGCTATAGTGATGCGCCGTAGATCTTGCCTGCACCTCTATGTCGTAAAGAAATTTAAACACACTCAGCAGTGTGAGAGAGACCTGCGAATAGTTGGCACATAGCCAGACAGAGTGCCTATCGTGCGCTGGATCGCGAGACCGAAGACCACGCAATGAGTGGAGCGCTGGTTAGTCAGAGGACTCCTGTGTGAACAGATCTTCTGATCTTGGCAGCAGCAATGACATGAGGCGCGTCATATTAGAGGGCGCCATGTGGACAGATTCAGAGGGCTAGCAGCAGCTATGTGTAGTGCTCCGTAATCTGCACTGCACCTTATGTCCAAAAAAATTAATAAACACACCAGCAAGTGTGAAGACGACCTGAAAGTGGCGACCATGAGCTAGCAAGAGTTGTGGGATGCGAAGGACACAGCAGCAATGTGTCGAGTGCCGTATACAGGTGTCAGCGTCCATAGAACGTAGCTCTCTGGACTTGGCGAGACAGCATGAGGAGGAACCGCTGGGTATGATTTATATAGGCGGGCTCTTGTGGTCTCAGATCTAACGAGGCCTGCAAGCAGCACGCTATGTGAAGCTGCACCGATAATCTTGCTGCACACATTATCAGTGATTCTAAAAAAATCTAACACACCAGCAGGCTGTGAAAGACGTAGACTCAGCATAAGAGCACATGTGCATCAGAGTTGTGCGATGTGAGACAGCAGCAGCCAATGGGAGGCCGTACAGTCCGGACCCCATGAGCAGACTCTGGACTTTAGCTAGCATCAGCTAATCTGTATGTGACGGAGCAGGTATATATCAGCGGGCCATAGGTCTTTGTCAGATTTAGGGGTCCTGTGTTGCATGCAGCTTTAATGTGAGGCCCGTACCCTCTATCGCTCTACACTGTAACCCTATGCATCAAAAAATTTGTAAATCTCACACGAACAGTGTGAAAGAGTACCTGACTAAGTGGGCACCATGGCAGCAAGAGTGTGCGCGCATGTGAGACAGCAGCATATGAGTCTACGCTACACAGAGACCCATGAGAGACGTCTGGACTACTGGCAAGCCAGCGATGAGGATGCGGTATACTAGGGCCACAAAATCCATGGCAGATTATGGGACTGGCATGCAGCCTATTGTGAAGACCGCCTGAATATCTGCAAACTGCACCCGCCTATGTCATAAAGAAATTAAACACACCGCAGTCGGCACGAGACCTGGAACGTGAGCACATGTGCATGCCCAGAGCTGTGAAGCGATGCGTAGATCAGACTACCAACGAAAAAAAGTTCCAATTTATGACATAGGTCACAAAAAATTATATATGGAGAGCCTGTACAGTAAAGGACGCATTGACAGACTCTGACTTTCCCGCAACCCCCATGTCAAAAAATTTTTAAAACACCAGCAGTGTGAAGAAGACCGAAAGTGGGACAGGCAGCAGAGGGGTGGCGATGGGAGAACAGAGCAATGGGGGAAGGGGGCCCTACAGGGGGGCCCATGAGAGACTCAAAATTGGGAGCAGCATGAGGGGGCGGGATATAGGGGCCCCTGGCAAAATTAAAGGGGCCTGGGCAAACAGGGTATGGAGGCCCCTAACTGCCTTCACCCTATGTTTAAAAAAATTTAAAAAACACCAGCAATTGGTTTAAAGACCCCGAAAGTGGCACATGGCAGAGGTGGGCGTGGAGACAGCAGCAATGGGGGGCCGTAAAGGGGCCCCCTGAAGACCCCTGGACCTTTGGGAGCAGCAAGAGGAGGCGGTATATAGGGGCCATGGGGAGATTAGGGGCCGGGAGCAGCTATGGAGGCCGTAATCTTTCCTGCACCCTAAAAAGTCAAAAAATTTAAAAAACCCCCCAGCATGTGAAGGGGACCTGAAGGGGAATGGGACGGTGTTCCCAAGGGCAGACAAAGGGATTTTTCAGGCCCTGACAGGGCCCCTTTTTTGGCACAGCAAAAGAGACGTTATTTAAAAGGGGGCCCCCATTTTGGCAGTGGGCGGAGGCTTTTTAAAAACCCTTCCCGCCTGCCCCCCCTATGCCCCAAAAAATTTAAAACCCCAGGGGTGAAAGCCTTTAAAAAGGGGAAATTCAGCAAATTGGGAGGAACAGGCAGCTTTGGGGCCCGTACAAGGGGAAAAGGTTTTAGCTTGGGCCCGCAGGGGCGTTAATAGGGGGGCCCGGGGGTTTTTTTGGGGTCCCCCGCTTGTGGGGCCCTAAACCCGCCCGCCCTATGTCAAAATTTTTAAAAACACCCAGCGTGGGGAAGAAACATAAAAAACTCACGATTTGGCGATGAGCAGCCGCCTTGGGGAGGCCGACAGGGCCCTACCCCCCAAACCCCCACCCTTGGCCGCGCCCGTGGAAGGGGGAAAGGGGGCCCCCCCAGGTTTAGGGGCCTGGGGCACCAAAGGCCGTCCCAATATCTGTGGATTTTAAAAAATTTTCCCCCCAGCCCGGGGTGAAAAGGACCTTTTGGGGGCCGGCAGCAGGGTTGGCCCCGGGGGACAGCCAAAGGGACCCCCCCCGGCCCCATGGAATCGGGGGGCTTGGCACCAAACAAGAGGAAAACGGAAAATTGTGGGCCCCCGAATTAAAGGGGCCTGGCCCCCACCAAGTAGGGGCCCAAAAGGCCTACCTTTGTCAAAAAAATTAAAACCCCCCCATAAGAAGCCTTGCACCCCCACCCGGGGGCGATGGAAAAACCCCCCAATTCCTCAAACCCATAAACCTGGACGGCACAAATGAACCCCCCCCTTTGGGCCCCCTCTTTTAGGGGCCTGGGCCCCCCAAAAGGGGATGTGGGGAATCTGGCCGCCCCCCTATGCAAAAAAAAAAAAAACCAGCATTGGAAAAAAAAAGCAATTTTTCCGAGGGGCGTGGAACAGAGAATGGAGGCCCTTACAACCCCGAAGACCCTAGCCCCGGCCAACAGAATTTGGGGGAATCCCACAAAGGGGGCCGGCAGAGCAAGTGAGGCCCAATTTGGCCCGACCCCTTTTAAAAAAAAAACACCCGGGGAAAAACCTTTAAAAACCGCGATTGGCTAAACACAAAAAGGCCAAACCCTGAGGCCCCTTTTGGCTTTGGGAGCCGTGAAGGCGGTTATTTAACCCGTGTTTGGGGTTTTTCACACCTTGTTTAAACCCGAAACTCCTGCACCCTAATTCCAAAAATTCACTTAGCCGTGTGGAAAAGACCTAAAAGGGGGTGGAGGAATTGGGGGATGGAAAGCAGCGCAAAGGGAGGCCGGAACAGGGGGGGAAAGGGGAGCTTTTGGAAACCCCCGGGGCAAAAGGGTTGGAAAGGGGCCTAAAGGCGAAGGGGGGCCCAGCGCTTGGGGGCCCTTACGCCAAACAAAACCCATGTTTTTTCCCCCCTTTTTAAACCAAAGGGGGCCATTTTTAGGAGTTCGGCGGAAAAAGTCGTTTTTTCGGAATTTATTAAATCCAGTTCCCTTTCCCCGTGGAAGTTTTTTTTTTCCACAAAGGATCCTTCCCCACGGGTGGGCATCGTTTCCCCCGAATTTTAAATCCTCCGGGCCCCATAAACCCCGGGGTCCGAGGACGAAAAGGCCCGGCCCAAAAAGGGTTTAAGGGGGAAATTGCTAGTTGGGGGGAAAAGGTCAAACGTTCCCCGGAAAAACAAAGGGATTTTCTTCCCCGGGGGGGGCGGGGCATCCCCAAGTACCCGGGGCCGTTGTTATGGCACCTGCCCCAGACCATCCCCAAAGGGGTGCCTGCCTTTTTCGGCCCCGGCGTAAAAAATTTGCCCCAACCTCCTTAAAAGTAATCACTGGACTGCAAATTAGGCGCCGAAAAGGTGGGCTGGCCCCGCTCCCCCACCCCCCCCCCCCGCCCCATTCCCGGAAGGGCGACACCCCCAGTTTTCAAAGGAGGGGCCCGCGGGGCCCAAATCAAACCAAAATGGGGGAAAAAGTTGGTTTTTTTAAGTCGGGTTTTGGGGGCCTCCCAAAACCCCGCAGTTTTTTTGGGAAAAAAGGACCCTTTTGGGGAACCCGGGGGAGCGGGAAAGGGTCCAACAAAGGGGAAAACCCCCAAAAAAAGTTTTTAACCCTTCGGTCCTTGAAAAGGGATTACGGGGGGTCGGTACGAAGCAAAACCGGGGCTGTATGGGGGGATTTTTTTCCAAGAAGCCGGAGGGACTCCCTTTTCCCCCCCAGGGAAAAAAAAAAAACCCCTACTGCCACGGTCTCTGGGGCCCTGGCTCCCCCCTCCCTCCTTTCTCCAATGCTCCTGCCTTTTTTACTCCTGGCCGGGTGAGGGGAAAAACCACCCCAAACCCCAAAATTTCCTAGGACAAATTTCCCCCCCTACCTCCCTCCTCTTTCCCTTTCCTGGCCCTGGGCCCCCACGGGGTCGGGGGTGGGCGTTGGGGACTGTTGCCCAAATTCCGGGGGGTTTTACCACCAGGAAAAGCGATTTGTTCCGGGGGCAACAAAAGGGGCGCTTTCTCCCTTTGCCCCTTTACCCCCAATTCCCCCTAAAGGGAAGAAAGCGGATGACGCAAAAGGCTCCAAATGGCCAAAACCCCTAAGTTACCCCAAAAGGGGGGGCCTTTTCCCCTTTAAAATAGGAAAACTGGGCCTTTTCGCTCGTTAAAAGGGGCAACCTGTTGTTTGGGTTCCGATCCACCCCGTGCCCAAAGTTTGCAAAAAGGGTGTTTTGGGAACCGTTCCCCCCCCAGCCACCGGGGTTGTTTTTTCCCGGGAAGAAGGGGGTGAAATTCCCCCAAAGCAAATTTCCGCTTTTGGTGGTCGCAAAGGGGGGGGGTTTGGAAGAGGGGCAAAAGGGTTTCCCCGTGGGCCTTGGGTGGGCCTGGCCAAAAACCTTTTGCGAACGGACCCATGCCTTTCCGTGTGTAAGGTAAAATGGGAAGGGGGAAAACACCAGCCACGGGCCCAAAACACTCGGGAGGGGTTTCCCCTGGGACCAAACCGGGCCCAAAGGAAACCAGGGAGCACCGGGGCCCTTTGGCCCGCACATATAAGGGCCCCTCGGGAAACCCCCCCTTTTGGCCCCGGGGGTTTTCCCCTTTAAAACGGCCCAAAAAGAATGGTTTGACCACTCCTTCCGGACCAAGGAGTTTCAAACTTTTTAACAAAAAGATATTAAGGGTTCCCGGTCTTCTTGGCACCAAGTTCAAACCCCCCTTTTCCCCTTAAATGAATGACTGTCCCTGGACCGTGTTTTAACAGTCCCCAAATTCCGGGGCGCCCGGGGCAACTTTTTTGGCAAGAACATTTTAAAAAACTGGCCCAAAACCAATTCCAGCCCTACCCGGAAAATTTTCGGGCCCCGGGACGCCTTTTTGGGGAAAGAAAAATGCGGCCCTTGGGTTCCAAAACCCGCGCGGAAAACCAAAACTTTCCCCCGGAAAGGGGCCCCGAATTAACCCTTTGGGGGAAGGGGCGGCGGGGACAGAACTTTTTTGGCAAAGGAAAACAAAATTTTTTGGGGGGGGGGGCCAGCCTTTTTGGGACCCGGGGGCTCTCCCCTGTTGTCTCCTTTATAAAAACCCCACCAAAAACGGTTTTCGGAAACCCGAGAAAAATTTTTCCCCGGAGAGAACAAATCTGCGGGGGCGGAAGAAATTTTCCCAAAGGCAAAAACCCCCCCTCAGCAAAATTTTGGAAAAACCATTTTTTTTTGGCCCGGGTAGAAGTGGCCCCATTATCCGAAGTCGGGTTTTCGGAGCAAAAACACGGGTGGGCGGGGGCTTTTTTGGGGGGTTTTGGGGATAAACCGGGCCTAAAATAAAAACAATTTCCGGCCCCTGGAGTGACGTCAAAATTTCTGACCAAGCTTTAACCCCAAATTCCCCTGGCCCAGTAAAAACCAAATTTCTGGCCCATAAACAATTCGGCTTCCCGGGTTTTTTTCCTGGGGGCCCCGAGGGGAAAAATTTGCCCCCCGAGTAAAACTTGCCCCGTAAATAAATTTGGCTGGCGCTAACTTCCCCCCGGGCACCGAACCCCTTCTGCCGTTGGGAGGTTCAAAATTCTCTTACCCGTAAAAATTTGGGCCCCCATGGAAAACTATTTTCCCCCGGCCTCCCTTCAAACCCCCGAATGTTTTTTGGGCCCCCCTTCCAACTTGCCACCCTTAAAAACCTTGGTGTTTCGGAAGAAAATTTTGGTGACGCGGGCGGAAATAACAACCCCCCCTTTTAAAAAAATAGGGCTCCGCCCACTAAAGCCCCCTCGGCTGCTCTTAAACAAACCTGTCCTTCCCCCGGTAACCAATTTTCCCCCCACCTGCCCCGTTTCTGTCCCTTTTCTGCGAAAAAGGAAATTTTTTCCCCCCCCTGAGTCTTTTTTCTTATAAACCCCTTCTGGGCTGGCCCCCAAAAACAATTTTTGGTGGGGGGAAAACCGGGAAAACCCCCCGGGGGGGTAAACACTTTATCAAGTGGGGTTCTTCCCCCCCATGGGAAAAAAACTTGTTTCCGCGGGAAATCCCCCGAACCTTTTCCCGTATGTCCCGAGTTCCCTGGAAAGGAAAAACAACCGGCCCCAAACCCAATTTTTTGGCGGCCCGGGAAATTTTTTCCCCCGGAGAACAGGGCCCTTGGGGTAAAACCGGGAGACAACAATTTTGGCTGGAATAAAAATTTTGGGGGGCCTTAACCCTTCCTCTGGCCGCCAACGTCTGTCCCCTAAAACAATTTTCCCCTGCACCCCGAGTTTTCTCATACAAAATTCCTGGTTTTCCCCCCCGGGAACAAATTTTCTGGCACCATAACATTCTGTCCCCGGCCCTGAGTATTAATTTTGTGGCCCTGATAAAAACGAGGTCCTTTCGTTCAATTCGGCTCAGTAACAATTCTGTGTCTTTTCAAGTAACCCAAAATTTTTTGTCCCGTGCGAGTAACCCAATTTTTCTGGCACTCAGTAAAAAATTCTTCTGTCCCTGGGGTAACAAATTTTCTGGCCTCAGTAACAATTCTTTTCCGTTTCCCAGGAAAAAACAAAAACCTGGCACCAGTAACAATTCTGTCTGTCCCTGATTTTAATTCCCGTGGCCCTGATAAAAAATTTTTGTGTCCCCGGAAATTTGTTACGATTTAAAAAAAATTTTTTTTTTCCCCCCGGGGGGGGGCGTGCAAATAACAATTTTTGTGTCTGTGCCCAAATAACAATTCCTTTGGCCCCTCAGTAACAATTTTTGTCTGGTTTCCCTGAGTAACCCAAATTTTTCCCGGGACTCAGTAACAATTCTTCTTCCCTGAGTAACAATTCTCTGGCACTCAGTAACAAAATTTTGTCTGTCCCTTAGTAACAATTCTCTGGCACTCAGTAACAAAATTTTGTCTGTCCCGAAAAGAACAAATTTTCCCGGCGCTCAGTACCCAAATTCCCGTCTTTACCCTAGTATGAAATTTTGGGCCCTGAGAACCCAAATTTTTTGTCTGGGCGAGTAACAAACCCGTGTTTGTGCAAGTAAAATTTTGTGTCTGGTTTCGAGTAACAATTTCTCCCGGCACTCATAACAATTCTGTTTTGTCCCCGATTTAAAAATTCCTTGGCATCAAATAACAATTTTGTCTGTCCCCGAGTAACAATTCTCTGGCACCATAACAATTCTGTCCTGGGCCCCGAAGGGAAAACTTGGCCTAGTAAAAATTCTGTTTTCCCGGAGTAAAAATTCTGTGGGCCTTTTCAATAAAATTTTGTGGCCGTGGGGTAAAATTCTCTGGCACTCAGTAACAATTTTTTGTCCTGTCCCTGAGTAACAATTTTCGGCACTTTAGTAACCAATTCTGTCTTCCCTGAAATAAAATTCTTGGGGCCCCCAATAACCTTTTTGTCGGCCCCCAAATAAAATTCCCCCGGGGCCCCAGAAAAAATTCTTTTCTGCCGATTAAAAACTTTCTTGGGGCCAATAACAAAGGGGTTTTTGGGTTTAAAAAACAAAATTTTGGGAACTCATTAAAAAAATTTTGCTGGGCCCCGAGTAAAATTCTCTGGCCCAAAGTAAAAATTCTTCTTCCCCAAGTCTTTTTTTTCGGGGCCCCCTTTAGTAAAAATTCCCCTTGTCTGGGGCCCTGGTTGAAAAAACTGGGGCAAAAAAAGTTTAAAAATTTCTATCTGGCGGTAACCAAATTCCAAAAGTGTCTGGTGCAAGAAACAATTTTGGGTTCTTTGGGTGGCGGTTTAACAACCCCGGCCTCCCCGTTAACCGTTCCCTCGCCCCCGGAAACAATTCCTGGCCCCCTTTTGGAAAAAATTCTTGGTCTGCCCTGAGTAAACAATTTTTTTTTCTGGCCAAAAATCGAAAAAATTTTTCCTTTCCCTAATTAACCTTTTTCTTGGGACTTCCTCAAATTTTGTCCCGTTTTCCCTGATAAAATTCCGGGGGCGCTGTAAAACAATTCCTGGGGGGCGGTCCCGGGGAAAGTTCTTGGGGCCTGGGGGGAAAACAAATTTGGGTCTTGCGAAAAACAAATCTTGGGTTTTCTTTGAATAAAATTTTGTGTTTTGGGGCGGGGTTAAAAATTCTTTCAATTTGAAACAATTTTTTTAATTTTCCCTTTTTAGGAAAAAATTCCCTTTAGGGGGTTCAGAAACAATTCGTCGCCCGAGTTTAAAAATTCTGGCACCCCGTCGCTTTTTGCGGTCCCTGAAAAGAATTCCCCGGGGGTTGGGGGGTTAAAAAATTAATTTTGGTCTGGCGAGGGGGAAAATTTGGGGGTCTTGGGAGGGAAACCCCCAAATTTTTTTCTTTGGGAGTAAAATTTTGGGGAATCAGTAAAAAATCTGGTCTGCCCGGGGGGAAACAAATTTTTTCAACCAGGGAACAATTTTGGTTTGGCCCGGGGAAAATTTGGGCCCCAAAAAAAATTCCCCGGCCCTCCCTGGAAGGGAAAAAACATTCTGTGGCCCAAAAAGGAACCTTCTGGGCTGTGGGAGGGGGGAAACCAAAAAACTGGTTCTGTCAAGGAACAAGTTTTTTTTTGGGGGCCGAAATAAAAAATTCCTCCAATCCAGTAAAATTTGTCCGGTTCCCTAGGAAAAAAAAAATTCCTCCCGCACTCCAGTCTAACCCAAACTGGGGGCCTGACCCCTAGGTAACAAATTTTTGGGACTAAAGGTAACTTTTGGTCTGTCCCCCGGGGGTTTAACAATTTTTTCCTCATGTAACCAAATTTCTTTTTCTTGTTTTCCCTTTTAAGTAACAATTACTTGCCCCCCTTCCAATTCTTCTTTTCCCCTGAAAAATAAAAATTTTTTCCCTTTAGGGCTTTTGGGGTCCCCGGGTTGGCGAAAATAAAACCCCCAATTTAACCCCGGCAGGGCAAAGTAACAATTTTGGGGGTTTCCCCCTTTTGGGGTTCCCCCTTCCTTCCTTGGGGGAAATTTCCAGTAAAATATTTCCCGTTCCCTAGTAAATTCCGGCCCCTCATAACCAATTTTTTTTTTCCCTTAGTAACAATTCCTTTGGAACCATTTTTAAAAATTCTTTGCCCCCGGAAAAACACTTGGCCCCTCCCCCTAACCCTTTTTTTGTTTTCCAAAGAACCCAAATTCCTGCTTCCCTGAAAAAATGAAATTTTGTGGGCCCTGATTAAAATATCTTGGAAAAATATTAAAAAAACGCCGGGCCCTTTTTCAGTAAATTTTTTCAGGGAAACTTTTTAGTAACAATTTTGTTTCCCCCGTCCAAAGAAAAAAAATTCCCCGGGGTCCCCCCAATTTTCCCGTTTCCTTGTGGTAATAACCAATTTTCCTGGCAAAAAATAACCCCTTTAGTCCTGCCCTGGGGTATGGGGAACGTGGCCCAACTTTTGGTTTCTTGGGGCCCAAATTTTCCCCATTCTTTGGCCTTTTTAACAAGGACCTTGGAGGCTGCGTCGGTGCTGGTCATGTGACTCCAGACTGGCCAATCAAATCATGTGACTAAATGGCTAGGCTTTTGATCGTGTGACCATCACTGGAGGGAGTCTAGAGCAGCATTTTTCCAGGAAAAACAGGTAGATCATCGCATTCCTTTGTTCTTCATTAGATTTTCTTGATATGTACGGTGAATAGGGTAGGCGGGGGGTTAGAACCTCTGGCAGGTTTTTATTGTCCCCGGTGAAGATATTCACTCTCCTCTACTTGTTCTGGTGTCTGTGGTCACTGAGACAGAAAGTAAAGGGGAACCCAACATTTGACACCAGAACAGAAGACGAGGGTAAATTCTCCGATGAGGACGCCTGTTCTGGTGACAGTCCTCCAATGGAGTCCTTCCTTCTTGCAGCGATTTCCGCTCTCATTTCCTGTTACAGCGTCAAGTAAATGGACAGAAACAGCCAATCATAACCTGGCGGGGAACCCTTCCTTTCTCTATACTATGCCAGTTCTATACAATCACGTATAGGAATCCATTTATAATTAATTTGCTGGAAGAATGTCACAAGTATTTGCCCCGGCCATGACGCCTTTTCTCTGTAATTTCTCAACGCCCTCTATTGGCCATAATGCGGTATTTTCCTGAAATACCTTTATCAGGTGATATACCATGTTGTGGCCACTAGATGGTGCAGGTGATCATAGGAAATAAACCTATTAAACAAAACAAGAAGGACATTTGTCAGATGGGAAATGTTTCGTCAGGCAAATTCTGGGGCGTAGACGTCTGTTTTAAACCTCACCAGATCTGACAAAGAGGGAAGCCAAGAAGCTGATTACCCATTGGTGATGCAGGGCCCGATTTTAACCAGACAGTTCTTTCCGGTAAAGCCCGGAGCGCAGAGACAAATATATCCGCCGTCACCGGTCTCAATGCAGGTGGAGTTGCTGGAGCACGGGTAAGCCGCACACGGGTGGATGTCTGTGGAGATACAACGCACACTTATTGTTACCGCCCCACCTTATGTCATTCTTATACAATGGAATGGGGTCACCTGGGGAACGCCCGTTTGTTCACTTATATTCCTGATTCAGTGTGACCCCCATGTGACTGCCTTGTGACTGCCATGTGTCTGCCATGTGACCGCCATGTGACTGCTATGTGACTGCCTTGTGACCTCCATGTGACCACCATGTGACTGCAATGTGACCGCCATGTGACTGCAATGTGACCGCCGAGTGACTGCCATGTGACTGCAATGTGACCGCCATGTGACCGCCGAGTGACTGCCTTGCGACCATCATGTGACCACCATGTGACCGCCATGTGTCCACCATGTGACCGCCATGTGACCGCCTTGTGACTGCCTTGCGACTGCCATGTGACCACCATGTGACCGCCATGTGTCTGCCATGTGACCGCCTTGTGACTGCCTTGTGACCGCCATATGACTGCAATGTGACCGCCATGTGACCGCCATGTGACCGCCCTGTGACTGCCTTGTGACCGCCTTGTGACCGCCATGTGACCACCATGTGACTGCCTTGTGACCGCCATGTGACCACCATGTGACCGCCATGTGCCTGCCTTGTGACCGCCATGTGACTGCCATGTGACTTTTGACTGCCATGTGTCCACCATGTGACCGCCATGTGTCCACCATGTGACTGCCATGTGACCGGCATGTGACTGCTCTGTCACTGCCATGTAACCACCATGTGACCGCACTGTGACCACCATGTGACCGCACTGTGACCACCATGTGACCGCCCTGTGGACCGCCATGAGTCCACCATGTGACTGCCATGTGATCGCCATGTGACTGCTCTGTCACTGCCATGTAACCACCATGTGACCGCACTGTGACCACCATGTGACCGCCATGTGATCTTTGACCACCATGTGACTGCCATGTGACCTCTGACCTCCATGTGACCGCTATGTGACCTCCATGTGACCGCCATGTGACCGCCATGTGACCGCTATGTGACCTCCATGTGACCGCCATGTGACCGCCATGTGACCGCTATGTGACCTCCATGTGACCGCCATGTGACCTCCATGTGACCGCCATTTGACCGCCATGTGACCGCCGAAAAAAACTTTCACACAAAAAACCTTCTGGAATATTATTGCTCAGCATGTCGCTGTAATCCATTCCCTTCTGTTGATCCTGCCAGAAATCTGGTGAGCTCCTAACATCCTTAAGGCTCCATTCACACCTCAGCATTTTTGGAATTCACACAACATCGCAACACTTTTTTGCGTCTTTTGCGTGTGCGATTTTCGCCGCATGCATGGGCAGCCTATTGATTTCAATGGTCAGTCGTAGGTGCGACAAGAGATCAGTGTAGCCTTTTGAGTGTTGAGCTTCACGCATTGCGACGTGTTTCAGGATCATTTTTCATCAAGCGGCGCCATGAATAGCACAACCTGTTTTCTGCGTGTTTCATAAATGTGCGATTTTGTTTGCTTTGACAAAATGTTGAGTTGTGAATGGAGTCTAGGTGGGAGGACATGACGTCCTGTGCTACTGAAATCCCAAGCAGTGGTGTCAGCCCTGCCTGACTCTGCCTTGCTGGTCTACAGACATCCTCCCCTTATGACGTAATGGAGATGAGGATTCTGTAATCCAGCTGGGCAGAACTCAGACTTGGGATTTCAGTGCAGCAGAGGCAGCCTTGCATCCCCCGCCGGCATGAACACACTACAGATGAAGGAAGCATTTTATATTGCAGGTATGATGTGGCCGGCGAGGTTGGGGCCCAATGTACTAAGCCCACCTTTTGTCTTTGCGCCGGACCCTCAGGTTTTTGATTTGGGGAAGAGGCAGTAATCCAATTGCCATAATAGGGGAGATTTATAAAATAGTGGAAGAATGAAATATGATTTTGTGTGTGGCAGCGAAACGTCTCATCCCAAAATTTATATCAAATTCACAACCAATAAGTACTGCCTGAGCTGCACCCGCAGAGCAAAAACACAAAGATTGGAGAAGATAACCGATTCGTATCGGATAAGAAATATATCTGAAATATATTTTAAAAATATTCTTCCCAAATATATTGATAATTATTTGAAGTGCTACAATTTTGGTCATATTCAATATATTTCACAATATATTTTAATAAATAAATAAATATATATATATATACACTGTATGTTGAAATGAGTTTTTATTACAAAATATATTTTTCAAAATATATTATTTTAAAATATATTCCTCAGATTTTTTTTATACATAGAAAAAAGTAATTTTAACATATATTTGTAAATGCATTCCAAAATGTAGATTTGTATTTTTAAAGACATTCAGTATGTTTGAAAATGTATTTTTAAAAATATTTTTCATCTATTTTGTAATAAAAACTCATTTCAACATGCAGTATATATATATATTTTTAAATATATTGAACATGGCCAAAATTGTAGCATTTCAAATATATGTCAATATATTTGGGAAGAATATTTTTTATTTAAATATATTTCAAATCTATTTTTCTTCCATGTGGGACAACAAGAACATTTCCAGAACTGCGAGGACCAATCAGGAGAGCGGGAATTTTTCCTGGAGAAGAGAGATAATAAGGAACCGTAGGAGTCACTGTATTATCCTGTCTGCACACCGGGGGGAGCTGTTGTCATTCCTATCTTCTGGGATCCCATGAAATAAAAGGGAATAAAGCGATCGCCTCTGGATGAAACGATTGAAACGATTTTATGCCAGTCGCTCTAAGGGCCCATTCACACCGGTGCTCACAGCTACGAGACACTCGACATTAAAGGGTAACTCCACTTATTATGAAAAAACATAACAGATGAATAATATATCGTATATGATTGGTACACAAGGTTGGGGTGGGTGCGGGGCCCTAGGGGTAGGTGTGGGGCCCCGAACTTACACCGTCTGTATTCAGGGCCATGCAACCTCACAGCTGTCAAAATGGGAGCAGCAACTGTGTGTTTGCAACCGCTGCGTCCCAATGGACGTGAATGGAACTGCGTGCACAGGGATGCATGGAACACCGGAACGTCCCCGTGAGGGTGAACACGCCCCTGCATGGGTGGAAGAGGAACAAACCGTGACAACTCAGTAATGGGGAATTAATGAGCTCCCTGAAGGAGTCCTGAAATCAAGGGAGAGCCAAACAAGATGGCTGAAGGTGGCAATGCTGGAAGAAGACCAAATGAAGACGACTGAGGATCTCACAGATGCTGCATCTCCGGAGTATAGAATTCTCTCGTGTTGAGTAATATTAGAATTCATGTTCTACCCCGGCCAGATCATCACCATGAGGGTACGGCTAGGATCGGTAGTGAGGGTACGGCTAGGATCGGTAGTGAGGGTACGGCTAGGATCGGTAGTGAGGGTACGGCTAGGATGGGTAGTGGGGGTACGGCTAGGATCGGTAGTGGGGGTACGGCTAGGATCGGTAGTGAGGGTACGGCTAGGATGGGTAGTGGGGGTAAGGCTAGGATCGGTAGTGAAGGTACGGCTAGGATCGGTAGTGAGGGTACGGCTAGGATCGTTATTGGGGGTACGGCTAGGATCAGTAGTGAGGGTACGGCTAGGATCCGTAGTGAGGATTCGGCAGGGATCAGTAGTGAGGGTACGGCTAGGATCAGTAGTGAGGGTACGGTTAGGATCAGTAGTGAGGGTACGGCTAGGATCAATAATGAGGTACGGCTAGGATCGGTAGTGAGGGTACGGCTAGGATCGGTAGTGAGGGTACGGCTAGGATCGGTAGTGGGGGTACGGCTAGGATCGGTAGTGAGGGTACGGCTGGGATCGGTAGTGAGGGTACGGCTAGGATCGGTAGTGAGGGTACGGCTAGGATCGGTAGTGGGGGTACGGCTAGGATCAATAATGAGGTACGGCTAGGATCGGTAGTGAGGGTACGGCTAGGATCGGTAGTGAGGGTACGGCTAGGATCGGTAGTGAGGGTACGGCTAGGATCGGTAGTGAGGGTACGGCTAGGATCGGTAGTGGGGGTACGGCTAGGATCAATAATGAGGTACGGCTAGGATCAATAATGAGGTACGGCTAGGATCGGTAGTGAGGGTACGGCTAGGATCGGTAGTGGGGGTACGGCTAGGATCGGTAGTGGGGGTACGGCTAGGATCGGTAGTGGGGGTACGGCTAGGATCGGTAGTGAGGGGGTTGAGTTGCCCTCAAAAGTCCTAGCAGGCCCAAAGGGCAAACATTCTTACTGTGGGGCCCCGCTAACCTTCCTAAAGGGTCTGGATTTGTGGTGGCCCCATGCAGTGTTCTGTCAGTCCTGCTGCCGGTCCCACACACTGTACACATGGACAGCCTGGCGAGTAGTTTTGACTTTTTGATATTTGACTATTTTTTCCCACTGATTCCTGTCCCTCTCGGCGGTCCCCGAATCCCCGAGTCCCCATCCCCCGAGTCCCCATCCCCGAGTCCCCGAATCCCCGAGTCCCCATCCCCGAGTCCCCATCCCTGAGTCCCCATCCCCGAGTCCCCGAATCCCCGAGTCCCCGAATCCCCGAGTCCCCATCCCCGAGTCCCCATCCCCGAGTCCCCATCCCCCCGAGTCCCCATCCCCGAGTCCCCGAGTCCCCATCCCCGAGTCCCCGAATCCCCGAGTCCCCATCCCCGAGTCCCCGAGTCCCCATCCCCGAGTCCCCAAATCCCCGAGTCCCCATCCCCGAGTCCCCGAATCCCCGAGTCCCCATCCCCGAGTCCCCGAGTCCCCATCCCCGAGTCCCCAAATCCCCGAGTCCCCATCCCCGAGTCCCCGAATCCCCGAGTCCCCATCCCCGAGTCCCCGAATCCCCGAGTCCCCATCCCCGAGTCCCCATCCCCGAGTCCCAATCCCCGAGTCCCCATCCCTGAGTCCCCATCCCTGAGTCCCCATCCCCGAGTCCCCATCCCCGAGTCCCCATCCCCGAGTCCCCGAGTCCCCATCCCCGAGTCCCCGAATCCCCGAGTCCCTATCCCCGAGTCCCCATCCCCGAGTCCCCATCCCTGAGTCCCCATCCCTGAGTCCCCATCCCCGAGTCCCCATCCCCGAGTCCCCGAATCCCCGAGTCCCCATCCCCGAGTCCCCAAATCCCCGAGTCCCCATCCCCGAGTCCCCGAATCCCCGAGTCCCCATCCCCGAGTCCCCGAATCCCCGAGTCCCCATCCCCGAGTCCCCATCCCCGAGTCCCAATCCCCGAGTCCCCATCCCTGAGTCCCCATCCCTGAGTCCCCATCCCCGAGTCCCCATCCCCGAGTCCCCATCCCCGAGTCCCCGAGTCCCCATCCCCGAGTCCCTGAATCCCCGAGTCCCCATCCTCGAGTCCCCGAATCCCCGAGTCCCCATCCCCGAGTCCCCATCCCCGAGTCCCAATCCCCGAGTCCCCATCCCCGAGTCCCCGAATCCCCATCGCCGAGTCCCCGAATCCCCGAGTCCCCATCCCCCTTCTGGGGCATAGAAGCCTTCACAATCGGCACTTCTGAATTCACAAGTTGGAGTCCCCATAGACTTGCATTGAGTTCAAAGTTCGATGGTGAACCGAACACAGGAAACGGGGGGGGGGGGGGGGGGTCAGACCAACCGCCAATCACCGATACAAACCGATATTGCAGTGGCTGCCGATCCATCCGTCCTCACAGACACACTGCCAGGGCTCGCTGCAACGTCCATGAAGGCAACCCGGGAACGGGACACACTGGTCACAGGACCGACCTCTCCACCCCGGGTGACACCTACAAGACCAGGGAAATCATTTCCAGAAATCTGTCATAAAAAATGTGCATTGTAACAGCCAATCACTGCTGGGAAACAATGAGCCACTCTCAGCCCACCCCCATTCCTCCCACTGACACCAATGATGGGACACTATTCCTCCCACTGACACCAATGATGGGGCACTATTCCTCCCACTGACACCAATGATGGGGCACTATTCCTCCCACTGACACCAATGATGGGGCACTATTCCTCCCACTGACACCAATGATGGGGCACTATTCCTCCCACTGACACCAATGATGGGACACTATTCCTCCCACTGACACCAATGACGGGGCACTATTCCTCCCACTGACACCAATGACGGGGCACTATTCCTCCCACTGACACCAATGATGGGGCACTATTCCTCCCACTGACACCAATGATGGGGCACTATTCCTCTCACTGACACCAATGATGGGGCACTATTCTTCCCACTGACACCAATGATGGGACACTATTCCTCCCACTGACATCAATGATGGGGCACTATTCCTCCCACTGACACCAATGATGGGGCACTATTCCTCCCACTGACACCAATGATGGGGCACTATTCCTCCCACTGATACCAATGATGGGGCACTATTCCTCCCACTGACACCAATGATGGGGCACTATTCCTCCACTGACACCAATGATGGGGCACTATTCCTCCCACTGACACCAATGATGGGGCACTATTCCTCCCACTGACACCAATGATGGGGCACTATTCCCCCCACTGACACCAATGATGGGGCACTATTCCTCCCACTGACACCAATGATGGGGCACTATTCCTCCCACTGACACCAATGATGGGGCACTATTCCTCCCACTGACACCAATGATGGGGCACTATTCCTCACACTGACCACCAAGCCTAAGGCATTGTTTTCTCCCACTGACTGACCCTTTGTTTAGTACATTTGGAGACCCCTACACTAAGTCACATCTACTAACTGGCCCCTAACATGTCCCCTCTGGGGGCCCCAGGCTCCCCTCCCTGCAAGTGTACAATCCCAGCACACGTTCCTGTGTTACAAGTGGCGGTGTGTATAAGTGGGTGCCGTCGGCTGGAACCAAACAGAATCAGTGAGGGATGGTGTCACCGGCACACTGAGGACCCCCAATACGGGGCAAACGATTCCATGAAAAATCACATAGTTACAGCAAGGAGTCCCGAAGGACCCCATGCCTGATGTTACATGCCTGATAAAGGGGTCCTGGGGGGGTCACACGCCTGATGAAGGGGTCCTGCGGGGGGTCGCATGCCTGATGAAGGGTCCTGCGGGGGTCACATGCCTGATGAAGGGGTCCTGCGGGGGTCACATGCCTGATGAAGGGGTCCTGCGGGGGTCACATGCCTGATAAAGGGGTCCTGTGGGGGTCACATGCCTGATTAAGGGGTCCTGCGGGGGTCACATGCCTGATAAAGGGGTCCTGCGGGGGTCACATGCCTGATGAAGGGTCCTGCGGGGGTCACATGCCTGATAAAGGGGTCCTGCGGGGGTCACATGCCTGATGAAGGGGTCCTGCGGGGGTAACATGCCTGATGAAGGGTCCTGCGGGGGTCACATGCCTGATAAAGGGGTCCTGCAGGGGTCACATGCCTGATAAAGGGGTCCTGTGGGGGTCACATGCCTGATGAAGGGTCCTGCGGGGGTCACATGCCTGATGAAAGGGTCCTGCGGGGGTCACATGCCTGATAAAGGGGTCCTGTGGGGGTCACATGCCTGATGAAGGGGTCCTGCGGGTCATATGCCTGATGAAGGGGTCCCGCGGGGGTCACATGCCTGATGAAGGGGTCCTGCAAGCTCTGTATACATCCATGACACCATAGGCTGGCCTGTCCGCTCTGCATGAACTCTAACGTTTGGGGAAGACACATCTTGTATTAGGTGAAGTATATCCCCCCCCCCCCCCCCCAGTGTACACCTGGCTATGTCCAGGATCTATATGGGATAAACAGGATCTATATGGGATGTCCAGGATCTATATGGGATGTCCAGGATCTATATGGGATGTCCAGGATCTATATGTGATATCCAGGATCTATATGGGATGTCCAGGATCTATATGTGATATCCAGGATATATATGGGATGTCCAGGATCTATATGGGATGTACAGGATCTATATGGGATGTCCAGGATCTATATGTGATATCCAGGATCTATATGGGATGTCCAGGATCTATATGGGATGTACAGGATCTATATGGGATGTACAGGATCTATATGGGATATACAGGATCTATATGGGATGTCCAGGATCTATATGGGTTGTCCAGGATCTATATGGGATGTCCAGGATCTATATGGGATGTCCAGGATCTATATGGGATGTCCAGGATCTATATGTGATGTCCAGGATCTATATGGGATGTCCAGGATCTATATGGGATGTCCAGGATCTATATGGGATATACAGGATCTATATGGGATGTTCAGGATCTATATGGGATGTCCAGGATCTATATGGGATATACAGGATCTATATGGGATGTTCAGGATCTATATGAGATGTCCAGGATCTATATGGGATACACAGTATCTATATGGGATGTCCAGGATCTATATGGGATGTACAGGATCTATATGGGATGTCCAGGATCTATATGGGATGTCCAGGATCTATATGGGATATACAGGATCTATATGAGATGTCCAGGATCTATATGGGATGTCCAGGATCTATATGGGATACACAGTATCTACATGGGATGTCCAGGATCTATATGGGATGTCCAGGATCTATATGGGATACACAGTATCTATATGGGATGTCCAGTATCTATATGGGATGTCCAGGATCTATATGGGATGTCCAGGATCTATATGGGATAAACAGTATCTATATGGGATGTGCAGGATCTATATGGGATGTCCAGGATCTATATGGGATACACAGTATCTATATGGGATGTCCAGGATCTATATGAGATGTCCAGGATTTATATGGGATGTCCAGGATCTATATGGGATACACAGTATCTACATGGGATGTCCAGGATCTATATGGGATGTCCAGGATCTATATGGGATGCACATGGGTATCTATATGGGATGTCCAGGATCTATATGGGATGTCTAGGATCTATATGGGATATACAGTATCTATATGGGATGTCCAGGATCTATATGGGATACACAGGATCTATATGGGATGTCCAGGATCTATATGGGATATCCAGGATCTATATGGGATATTCAGATCTATATGGGATGTCCAGGATCTATATGGGATACACACAGTATCTATATGGGATGTCCAGGATCTATATGGGATGTCCAGGATCTATATGGGATGTCCAGTATCTATATGGGATATCCAGAATCTATTTGGGATGTCCAGGATCTGTATGTCCAGGATATGGGATATGATCCAGGATCTATATGGGATGTCCCATGGGATGTCCAGATCTATATGGGATGTCCAGGATCTATATGGGATGCCCTATATGGATGTCTATCTATATGGGATACACAGGATCTATATGGGATGTACAGGATCTATATATGGGATACATGGGTATCTATATGGGATGTCCAGGATCTATATGGGATGTCCAGGATCTATATGGGATGTCCAGTATCTATATGGGGATGTCCAGGATCTATATATGGGATATCCAGGTCCAGGATCTATATGGGATGCCCAGTGTCTATATGTCTATATGGGATACACAGGATCTATATGGGATGTCCAGGATCTATATGGGATGTCCAGGATCTATATGGGATTCACAGTATCTATATGGGATGTCCAGTACACAGTATATGGGATGTCCAGGATCTATATGGGATGTCCAGTATCTATATGGAATGTCCAGTATCTATATGGGATGTCCAGGATCTATATGTGATATCCAGGATCTATATGGGGATACACAGTATCTATATGGGATGTCCAGGATCTATATGGGATGTCCCAGTGTCTATATGGGATACACAGGATCTATATGGGATGTACAGGATCTATGGGATGATCTATATGGGATGTCCAGGATCTATATGGGATACACAGTATCTATATGGGATGTCCAGGATCTATATGGGATATGTCCAGTATCTATATGGGATGTCCAGGATCTATATGGGATGTATATGGGATGTCCAGGATCTATATGGGATATATCAGTATCTATATGGGATGTCCAGGATCTATATAGGATACACAGTATCTATATGGGATGTCCAGGATCTATATGGGATGTCCAGGATCTATATGGGGTATCTACATGGGATGTCCAGATCTATATATGTCCAGGATCTATATGGGATACACAGTATCTATATGGGATGTCCAGTATCTATATGGGATGTCCAGGATCTATATGGGATGTCCAGGATCTATATGGGATACACAGTATCTATATGGGATGTCCAGGATCTATATGGGATGTCCAGGATCTATATGGGATACACAGTATCTATATGGGATGTCCAGTATCTATATGGGATGTCCAGGATCTATATGGGATGTCCAGGATCTATATGGGATGTCCAGTATCTATATGGGATGTGCAGGATCTATATGGGATGTCCAGGATCTATATCCAGTGATCTATATGGGATACACAGTATCTATATGGGATGTCCAGGATCTATATAGGGATGTCCAGGATCTATATGGGATGTCCAGGATCTATATGGGATACACAGTATCTATATGGGATGTCCAGGATCTATATGGGATGTCCAGGATCTATATGGGATACACAGTATCTATATGGGATGTCCAGGATCTATATGGGATGTCTAGGATCTATATGGGATATACAGTATCTATATGGGATGTCCATGTCCAGGATCTATATGGGATACACAGGATCTATATGGGATGTCCAGGATCTATATGGGATGTCTTCAGTATCAGATGATCTATATGGGATGTCCAGGATCTATATGGGGATCTATATGGGATGTCCAGTATCTATATGGGATGTACCAGGATCTATATGGGATGTCCAGGATCTATATGGGATG